TATAAAATTCTCAGGCATTATCACTTTAGGATGGAAGAATTAATCAATCAAAATTGCTAAGAAGTTTATTCTACCATACTTCCTATCCACCNTTTATAAATTAATTTTATTTTATTTAATAAAATAATTATTATTAATTTAATTTATGTATTATTATTTAAATAATAATCAAAATATTTTTAAAAAACTTATTAAAAAGGATGTATCTCACGTTGAAGATTTTTTTATGTTAGACATCCATTTTAGAACAAGGACAAAATGGATATGAAATGGTGTAGAGAGTGTTCTTGGGGTGTCAGTAGGGTAGGGGTGGGCAAAATGGGCAAAAAATCTGGTTGGCCCAATCTCATCCAATTTTGTACTGAATTGATCCATTAAAAATCCATTTTCTAAAATCTGTTTTCTATTTTTAATCCATATTTCATAATTTTTTTAAACAAGATTTCTATTTTATTTATACTGATTTTAAAATCTGGAAAATTCAAAGATTACGCTCATATCCAATAATTTATGAACTGAAACCACCAACTCCTCCCCAATACTAAAATCTGAAACTCAAGAACTTGTCGATCCCAAAATTTCAATACAATAAGCGTGTCTATGCACTAATTCAGCTACTTTTGCCATCATCGAATCCAATGCTTTTTTGTTACTTCTTGAATTCGTCCATGTCAGTCTTCGTTGTTTTAAATTCTTTTCTCAGTTCTTGTATTTCTTTCTTTATTCTTTTATCTTGTATTTCCTTTTTGATTCTTCCTGCTTCCTTACTGAAAACACAACAGAAAATAAATACAACAACATAATAAAATTTAATATTTTTTTAAGTAAAAATAAATAAAAATTTACCTGACTTTAGTTTCTGGCCGTCTTCCCATGTACTAGTCATAAAGTTCTCCTGTTCCATTTGTTCAGTAACAATCTTATTAATGAAAATCAAATTCGAACTTTCTCTTTGTTTTTCTTTTATGCGATGGCTGAGCTGCTCGAGCGTGGTTTCGAAATCTGTTGAACAACTCATTTCTTTCTGTGGTCGTTCTTCTTCTATAAAAATAAAAAAGAGAAAAACTAAAAGAAAAGATAAAGAAAGTTTCAAAACCCAGTATAAAATCACATCGGGAACTTTCAATATCCTTCCCATGCCCTTTTGTTGACATCCCATTCATCAGCTCTGAAATGAATTTCACTAATACAAAAATTCAGAATCACACACTCCAAAACAGAAAAAAGAAAAGTCACCAAATTTCCAAAATCAGAAAACTCTGTTGTCCCATTAGCTAAATAGTCACCAATGAATATATACTACAAATAGTTCAAAGGTAAGCTAAACAACGGAATTTTGCACCAACACTATGGTAATACGTATTTTCAACAACCATAGAAAATAATAATATCTGAACAACCTAAAACAAAGTTTCCAAAGACTATAATCACAACCAGCATTAACCATACCAAATAGCCAAATACAAGTGCATTATGTGTCAAATTGCTATGTACAGGTTCTTGATGCTCATACACTCTTAACCCCTTTCCCACAAAAATTCAATAACCAAATAGTTTGGAAAAAACTACTACGTGTTATTCTCAAATTGGTCCCTACTTTTGGGGCTTTTGTTCAAAATGGTCCCACCTTTTGAAAAAGTTCAGTAAAGTTCCATATTTTGGTTTAAAATGTTCAATTCGGTCCTTTTCGTGGACGGCGTTAGAAACTTAACAGTGGTGGTGCTACTGTGGCGAAATTTGAGTGAGCTGTTATGTTTTGATGGTTACGTGGCACTGTAAATTGGGGAAATATCCTAAATTGGGGAAAACCCTAATGTTTTAATAACCCTAAACCCTAAATTAGAATCAGAAACCCTAAATTGGGGAAAAATCCCCAATATCAAAACCCCGACCCTCAACCGGTTAGTCTTTCTCATATTTCCCTCCAACAGCACCGTAGGGGACTGAGGGATAGGAGAATGAGACTTTCCCTTAATGTTGCAAGGAGGTTTTTTGGTTTGCAAGATATGCTGGGCTTTGACAAAGCTAACAATACCGTGGAGTGGCTGCTGAACCAAGCAAAAGCTGAAATCAATCGTCTAGCGAAGGAGAAAAAGAAGTAGAAGAAGAGTGTTCACCGCAGTTGCTGCAGTGCTGATTCGGAATGTGAAGAAGGTGTGTCTAGTCTAGATGAGGTTGCAAGGAGTAGAAATGAAGAAGAAGCAGGAGAAGATTGGGGATTTTTCCCCAATTTAGGGCTTCTGATTCTAATTTCCACTTTAGGGTCCCCAATTTAGGATATTTCCCCAATTTATAGTGCCACATAACCATCAAAACATAACAGCTCACTCAAATTTCGCCATAGTGGCACCACCACCGTTAAGTTTCTAACGCCGTCCACGAAAAGGACCGAATTGAACATTTTAAACCAAAATATGGGACCTTACTGAACTTTTTCAAAAGATGAGACCATTTTGAACAAAACCCCCAAAAGTAGGGACCAAATGATGTATTAAACCTATATTTAATTACTTTTATTGAATAGAAGTATATATATAATACGAAAGTATAATGACTGAGTAATAATTATATTAAAACCTTAACACATAAACTTGAAATATTTTTAAGTTTATAATAATGTGTATTGAATATATTTTTACATCAAAATATTCTCTACACTACAAAAATCTATAATTTTAGTAGGAATTATTTTTTATGTTACTAGGGTTTTAACCCCCAGAAAATACAATTCTCGCGGTTGCAAAATCTCCTGGGAAAAGCTGCGTCAGTAAATAATTACCGGCAATTTTGGGAAAAAATCGCGAAATTAGCGGGGGTTTTGCGAAAACCGCCGGGAGTGACAGGGGTTTCGTAAAAAACGTCGAAAATAGCCGAGTTTTACAAAAACTGCCAGAAATAACCGGGGTTTTACAAAAACCGTCGAAAATAGCCGGGGTTTCACAAAAACCACCAGAAATAGCCGGGGTTTGGCAAAAATCACCCCTATTTCCAGGGGTTTTCTTCAAAACGCAGAAAATGTTTATATTGTTTGCCAGGTATTCATAAAGGCATATTACATTATGATTTTAAGTCTCTGACCAGAGAACTATTATTGCAAGATTAAAGAACAATTTAATTAATGTCTTCTGTGATGGCACAACCTTGAAACAGTAGATGGTAATAATATCCCAAAGAAGACTAATGGAATGATGAAGAGAATTAACACATGTTTGATTTGGTTTCAGATTAAGTTAATCTTGTTCATAATTCATGAAACTATTCAAATAGTTTTCATTTTTCACCTTAAACCAAATATACTACAAACTTAACAACCAGGATGACAATCAATCAAAGGTGTAAGAAAGACATAGAATCAGGACTTGAATACACTAAAAGAAAACAAAAATCTTGCATATGTGAGAGAAAACACAAATTCTCTTCTTTTGCCTCCATTGTTAAGTAGATTCAACACCCACTTCTTACAAAACAACCCTCAATCTTGTCTTTTCTTTCCGCCTTTGATGTTCATATGGGTTTTATCCTAATATGCCACCTAATGCCTACATGAATTAATTATCATCATGAGCTACAATGGTAGGAATTTGACCGTGGTTAACAAAATCAATTTTATTCAGTCGTAAGCAGCATAAGACTTGCTCTGGCAATTCCTCCTACTTTTAAGCCTATCAAAGCATAGAAGAAAAAGGGTATTATTAGAATGATAACAATTGCATAGATAAGATACAACTTATGAAACAAAGAATTGAATCTTTCATTTGTCTAAGAGAAAGAGTAGTTAAGCCCATATTTTGCCTGGATAGTTAAGCCTAAATTAAGTACAACATTTTTTGTACGGTCTTGAAGTGGATCAAGTGCTTTCCTTGATATATAGCTAAAGCGATGTATATCCAAGTCAATCTCAAAGTAGTTTGGTCCATGCAATGACGAATTGAAGACACATAATTTAACAGTTGATACACAAGGGTATAAATTCATTTAGCATGATAATTAAATTTAAAGAAGAAAATTTGAAGCCAGGTGATCCATTTGTGTAACCTTAAAGAAACTGTGTTGAGGGCGTGAAAGTATTGGCTTTCCATTGTAGGCATGTATAAGCTTTTTCTCTGCAGAATTTAGCTCAAGGTCCTTAGGATTAACTACCTCAGCCAAAAATTTTAGCCATGTTAGCAAAGAAGTGAGACTGCATGAGAGTTTACAATGTTAGAATAAATGTGTCATATTATATGTTCAACATGTTGGTGATATAATTGGATCTGAGTAGATAAAGGTCAGGTGGAATTTAAATGGGGATTATGGGTATGAAAAGCTCCTAAATCACCACATACCATACAAGATTACTATCACATACTTATTTGTCATCTTTCTATATCAAAATCAACTTGTTAAGTATGGAGTTTACCATCAACAGTTGTATGCTTCTATTTGGAGTAAACTATCATGTCCCTGCTAACTATCTGAACCCAAGACAACACATATAGATTGATCAAGTGCATCAAGTGTCATGTTATAATCTTGCTTCGATTATGAGAGAAACAGGTAAGTAATCAAGTGCCAAAAATAAAATTTAACAAAGAAAACTAAGCAGAGAATTAAGAGAAAATGAAAAAGTGTAAAACATTGCCAATATGTTAGGCTACATAATAATACATTCCTGTACATGTTATAAAATTCTCAGGCATTATCACTTTAGGATGGAAGAATTAATCAATCAAAATTGCTAAGAAGTTTATTCTACCATACTTCCTATCCACCTCTTAGGAAAACTATAAAGGTAATGCAATATATACCACACTATATTATTGTGTAAGACTTGAAATTAAGGAAAACATGGCAGAAAAAGGAAAGACTAAAATATATATTTAATGCTAATAGTGGTCTCTGTTGAATAAAGAAAATTTAGACATGAATTGAAAATGTTGGAGTATGGATCAGTGAGAGGAAGGGCGATAATGTTTAGCGTGAGGAAAGACCTTGCACTGTTCGACGACATTGAGCAGGTCCTACTCTCTGAAGCCAATGAGGAATTGGGCTAGGCCTTCAAGAAACAGCATTGCCTGGTACACAGTGGTTGCGCTCATTATGTCCACAAGAACGCTCCGCCTCACGCGGTTCGCCCAAAGAACCACGCTCACCACCTCTTCCATTTGTGCTTTAGCATCCGCGCCCCCCACCTCCTTGGCGGCAGCGATATTATGCTCCTCCCAGCACCAGAACCAGTTCCCCACGATGCACTCCATGAAGGCACTCTCGGCGCGCTTGAGGCGGTCTGAGAGGGTGGCGACGATGTGGCGGAGGCGACACTCAATCTGGTCCATGCACAGGGTGAGGGAGTTAGAGGAGTTGCTCCATGCAAGAGCTACCTGCCATGGACGGTAAGGGAAGGGGAGGGGGAGATGGCGGCAGGGGTTGTTTTGGTCAGTCTCAGGGGATATTGTTGGTGGAGGATGGAACACATATAATAAACCGCCAATAGAATTAATTATTTTTGTAGTGCTATAATGATATTTCAAATAATAATATGATAATAGAAATCAATACATAAAATTATAGTTCACTTCAATACTTTAGTATACATTTGAAGCATATTTTTATATTTATTAGTTTTTTTAAGTAATAAATTTTGTTGCTGGCAATAGAAAAAGTAATATTTTTCTTTAAATAAGTATTTTGTGAAATGTTAAATATGTAATAAATGTTTATAGTATTTAACAAATCTGTTTCTTCTATTTTTTTATCGTCTTAAGTAAGGATAGCAAAAAATTTCGCACCCATAGATATTCGTGGATAAAATCCGTGACGGATAGTTGGTATCCGTCGATATTTACTATCTGCGGATTGTGGATAGCGAGTTTTTTAATATCTACTTATAAACGGGTCGGGTGCGGGTATTATACTATTTGTACCCGTGGATATCCGCTAACCACAAAAAATAAAAATAAAAATTTAATTTATATTTTATTAAGTTAAATTTAATTAAAATTAACTTTAATTTATATTTATACAGTCAATTAATCTAACAATTAAATTTATATTTATATTAATTAATATATATTATATGTTTATATATTTTTTGTAACTTTTAATTTAAGTTTTATTATAATTGTTTAAACAATATATTTTTTATCAATATTTGCGGTATCCCATTGATATCCGAGGGTTTTTAAAATATCCGCACATATTTTTTAAGCAGTAATCCGTAGCGAATAACAGGTCGGATACGCAAGTGGTTGTTTTTATATCGATTAATTTGCGAATGACACTATCCGTATCCAACCCACCTGCTGTCCTCCCAGTCTTGTAAAACAATTATTATTTATCTTTCTTTGAGAATTTCATGAATAGGTTAATCATTTTTTTTTTCTGTTATACTTTTATGTGTATTTCATTTTGAAATAAGGTCTATTAGACGAGGGTTTAATCGTCTTAAGTCTTAAGTGTTTTACAAAAATAAAATTTAAATATTTTTTAGCATTAATATATCTTTACTAAATTAATTATAAAATTATATATAAAAATAAATTTTAAATTAAATTATTATAATAATTTATGATTTTTACAATAAATTATTTTATTAGAGAAAATGTCTCGTTTTAAATTTGTTTGTGTTTTTCAAATTATAAATATTTTAATTATAAATATTTTTACTAATAAATAAAAAAGTTTTATTTTTAAATTTATTTTAAGTTTCTCAAACTTTTGAGTCCTACTTGATTAGATCATAAAAATAAAATTAAATATCACATAACTATTTTATTAGAATTAAGAAAAGTTATTATATTTCTTAATTAACGAAAAAAACCCTTAAAATATACATAAATTGAATATAGAAAAGAATAATAAATTATTGTATTTAATGAGTGTATAGGTTTTATTTAAGTGGAGTATATATAATACCTAAATCATTAATTGTTATTTCAGTTAGGTTTTACTTCATCATTGTGGTATTGTTACAAATAGAGACAAATTAGAGTTTTTGTATTAAAAGGCCATCCAACCCAGAGAAGAAGAAAGAAATTCATACCAGTATTCCTTAACAAAATGGTCTTCTCCATATTTCGACTTGTATTTCTGGGAATTCTCTGTTCTGCTTTGTTTCGGACAACAGTAAGAATTCAAAATCTGATTTTTGTTTTTCAAAACTGTTGTGTGCTGACAAACTTTGGTTGAAAGATGGGTGATATAAGAAAAATGTTATATATGGAATGCAAGTTTTGAAGTGGTTTGTGGAGGGCATATATTGTTGAAATCTGGAACCCCATTTGAATGATTTTAGAAAGTAATATCGGGAATGTTTATACAATGTTTGGACTTTGTGTTTATTACAGGGCAACCTGTGACGGTGAGTCCATGGGTAGACTGTGCTGGACCATGTGTTTCTTTCGACAATTGCAACTTTAACTGTCATAATTTGGGATACACTAGTGGGGGTTTCTGTGCAATTTTCACTTGTTGTTGTTTCAGGAAATGATACACATTCTACTCTCCACAAATGCATGCACTCCAATAAAACATATCCATCAATAAAACAACATTTGCCATTTTAAGATTGAATTATAATGTATTACTCAGAATTATATATTAGAGTACATTTTAATAAAATTTAATATTTATTTTAATTTATTATTTCACCGTATGAATGAATCCTTATTAAATTATCTATTAATATTTAATTTTATATTCAAAATCAACTTCTAACTTAGGTTACTTTATAAAATTTTAAACTTAAGTATTAATTTGTGAATTTAAATTTAGTGTTTAATATATAATCTCTCTC